TGTGACAATATAATGATAATAACGGTAATAAATCCTAGCTTAACTGTTGAACAGAACGATCATATAGTCAGTCGGGTCACGCCAAGGGTCACGCACTTTGTTGCAAAATGGCCGTGTGGTTGAAACTGAGTCATGGCGTGACGGGTGATGCAGACATCATTAAACACTCTCAAAATCACAATAAAACAGGGAAGTGGTTGCATATTACGGCGTAGCCAACATGGGAAATAAAAAAACGCACAATACAAACGACATGGGTTCGAATCACACTAGATACACACTCGCCAGAACCGAAGCAATCAGAAACCAGCAATCGTTTTGGCTTTCCCGTTCAACTCATCGGTACATTGGTGTAGTTGGAAAAATGAACACCACTTAACGACCAACGTCGTGGCGTGGTATACAATTTTTTGGACAATTGTAACTCAATAATAGAAATAAGTTGTATTGTTATATATACACACACTATATAGTCTCATCAAATGCAAACACAACCAGTCAATCCATTGTGGTCTTGTGGGTCAGTTCTATACATAGTGATCATGAGGACCCATGTTCAATTCCCCTGCCTGCCAGTCTTTGCTCGCAAACAGGAATTTGTAATAAAGCTAAATAACAAATCATTTATTTGCATGACTACCCACATGATTCAGTGGATATGTACAATGCCACCAATGTGAGAGATTGCTGGTTCGAATCTAGTATTTTTGAATGCTAGTGAGAACAGTGCTCCTATAAATAGGACTTAAATCCCATTGCTTGTGTGAAGACACTCGTGGTACAGTGGACAAGACAGTGCGTTGGGAACACAAAGATTGCAAGTTCAAATCACAGACTGGACACTCCTACAAGACAAGATATGAAAGATGTTATAAACAGCAACTTCTATATATCAAGTCAGAAAAAACAGAACACAATAATACTACCTCACATGGAAGCCAGACGAAGCTGAGGAGTCGTCAAAGTATGAAGACAATTGACAGCTGCAAGTCATGTGCAACAACAGACTAGAGGAGCAATGCTGTTCTCCAAATAGGCCCCTTCATTTGTATTGACCCCCTAAGGATTGCTAATCCCCCTTTCTAACTCTTCCCCCAAAAATAATATATCGCCCCTTTTAGAATGTATTGACCCACAAATTAATGAATATTCATGAGCACAGAAACTGCTACGCCATGAATAAATTAGCATAATTAAAACAAAAATTGCATAAAGTGTAGGTACATCTTCTCGATCCCTGTCAAATGAAGTGTGTATTTTAGAATTAGTTGTGTGTTTAAAAAGACGTGTGTGTTTTAAAAATTATGTATGTTTAAAAAATGACGTGTGTGTTTTAAAAATTATGTGTGTATTAAAATGACGTGTGTATTTTAAAATTAGTTGTGTGTTTAAAAAGACGTGTGGTTTAAAAATTATGTATGTTTAAAAAATGACGTGTGTGTTTTAAAAATGATGTGTGTTTGAACATGACATGTGTGTTTTTAAAAATGGCGTGTGTTTAAAAACGTGTGTGTTTTAAATAATGTATATATTAAAATGAAGTGTGTTCAAAATGACATGTGTATTTTAAAATAATGTGTGTTTTTTAAAATGACGTGTGTGAGGTCAAATACAAATTTTGTGTGTGTAAAAAGAAAAAAAAAACGCATGCATTTATTTACGCCTGTAGGAGGCGCTATTTTTGAATGATAGACCAGTATTCGGCACCATGGGCCAGTCAGCTGGCGCACACGTGATAATAAAATAAATACGTTATTTATTACATCGTCCGTCGTCTGTGTCAATGTTTTACTTTTTTGACTTCTTCTTGAAAACTACAAGCCTGAATGCTTTGGTACTTGGTGTATATGTACCTTGGGTAGACCTCTCTCAGATGTGTTCATTTCATGATGAGATCTTCAATTCTCTAATTTTGGTGAATATTTTTGTCATTTTTGGTAAAAAGTGATATTTTCGACTTCTTGTTAAAAACCGCAAGTCCAATTGCTTTGATATTACTTACCGGTATATAGGTACTACATGTGGACCTCTCCCAGATTTGTTCATTTTGTAATGATATATTTAATTCTCTAATTTTGATGAATATTTTTATTATTTTTGGTAAAAAGTGATATTTTTGACTTCTTGTTAAAAACTGCAAGTTCAATTGCTTTGATATTACATATATAGGTACTACATGTGATCCTCTCTCAGATTTGTTCATTTCATGACGATATCTTTAATTCTCTAATTTTAGTGAATATTTTTGTAATTTTTGGTAAAAAGTGATATTTTCGACTTCTTGTTAAAAAATGCAAGTCTGATTGTTTGCTATTATATATATAGGTACTACAGGTAGACCTCTCTTGAATTTTGTTTATTTTATGATGATATCTTTTTTTGTCATTTTTGGTAAAAGTGATATTTTCGAATTCTTCTTGTTAATTTCGTGGTGATATCTTCAATTATCTAATTTTGATGATTATTTTTGCTGAAAAGTGATATTTTTGAATTCTTGTTGAAAACAGCTAGTCCTGTTGCTTTGATACTATCCATATTGTTCATTTTCTAATGATATCTTCTGTTCTTTAATTGAAATGTGCATTGCTAACAGCGGAGCTATCTCAGCCGATAGGCTGCTTGTTTGTTTTTACACACACAAAATTTTCATTCGACCTCACACACATCATTTTTAAAAACACACACGTCATTTTAGACACACATTATTTTAAAATACACATATCATTTTAAACACACACATAATTTTAATATACACACACCTTTAAAACACACATGTCGTTTTTAAACACACGCTATTTTAAAAAACACAATGACAATTCATTTATGACACAACAGATAAAGAGATAAGAACACACGTTTATTTGGCAAAACAGGGGGGGGCACGCTGTTGGGACCATACAAACAGTCTGAAATGCATAGCTGAAATCTGCCTAACAATGAGTGCTACCTAACTTGCCTAGACATTAACGCGTGAAGCTGCTGCCTTGTAAGAACGGCATTTGTCAACAACCAATCATAAGAATGGTTACGAAGTCAGAACCACATCAAAGTTACGATTCGGTTAGCATTGCTCAACTGGTTCGTAACCAGTCTTGTGATTGGTTCTTTACCTCCAACTGTGCAGTGTGTTCGGCCCAACCGTTAATTATTCAGAAATAGAGTCAATTTGTGTAGTTTTCTTGATTTATTCTGCAGATATAGGTAAAATATAGGTAAGGCTTTGGAGAAATTTGAAAGAGCAACTAATATTCTTCAACCTGGTATTTTTTTATAGATTGTATTTTTCACTCTATCCGTCTGTTTTTTCCAGTTTAAAAAAATATGAGCTCGCTGGAGCCTTCATCCCTTGTCTATTTATTACACTAGATACCAGCCGATACCACGATTTCACAATTAATATAGATATCAAACAGAAAAGAAGAAATGAAAATTACAAATCAAAATGCAATTAATACGTTTGTAATTTCACTTCAAACTACATTTACATTTGCAATCTTACCTTTACTTTTGAAAAAGGATTTTTTGGTAATTTATTTAGTCTATATGTGATTTGGCTATGAATAGCATGCCTTCTTATTACTGCCTACAGTGCTTCGATCATGATGACAAACCATCTTGGTGTGCTGAGGTCTTGTCTGATAATCACCAATGGTTTCATGAATACATACTAGTCATTAGTAGCATTCATATACAGCTGCTTACACAGGCTAAGAAGTCAAATACCTTAGCCTGTGCTAAGTGTTCACTCACATTTTCTTAGTACAGGCATAGACCTTAGAAAACAGGGACATGCAACTTCTGTCTAAGACAAAAAAAAATCCAGTTTCCTGTGTGAAATGTGGGTTATAATCTCCTGTATTAATATATATACCTATACATCTGAAACAGTTTTAGTTCTTACCTTTCTACACTTTTTATATGTTCGATAAGTTATGCTGTGCCAATATTCACATTTGTCCGTGCATAACGGGTGCACTATGCTATATCTGTTCTAAATATGATGAAAAATCCACTTGTTATAATGACACAAATTTTGACAGGTCATTGTTTACGTTTAGGCAGTTTTGTTTTCTTGTAGAGAAAACTGACTATTTTTATTTCCCTTTTCTGTTTTCATAGTGGAATAAAAACTGTTAACTTTGCAATTTTTAGTTTCACTCATATAAATAGAATGAACTTGGCTATTCAGTTTTAATCAAATGTAATTTTTCTGATTATATTCTAACCACAAAGTTGGCTCATTTTGTGTAGCTACTCCCTGGCAGCCATGTTTGGCTTATGTAACAGGAGAGGATGTAACAGTGGTGTTGACATAGCTTTATTGTCAGTTTCACTGAGGTGTTAATTGGGTAGAGGATTATAACTAAGGTTACATGAAAGGGATACCTACAGTAGCATGTCCCTGTTTTCTAAGGTCTATGGTACAGGCTAGTAAATGCTAGTACAAATTAAATCGTTTTTAATACCTGGTCCAGATCCTTAGCATGAATGTGTACGTGAACGCTTACTATTATATTCATTATTTTCTTGTTAGTATGCCATTTCCGACATGACAATCAACAAAATACAAATAGATTGTTCTCAAGAAAAATGAACTGACGTAAAGTCTCTGTACTACTTCTGATTATTCTGCACTCTGCAGTTTATGAATTTGCTTTAGTATTGTTTTATAATTGTAGAACCAACATGTATACCTTCTTAGTTACTGTACTGAGTAATCATAGTTAAAATGACTGAAGATTTTTGTATATTTTTTAACAAGTTTGTGCATTCCTTAACCCTTGCTAGGTAACTACCCGATATGCAAACATATGAGATTTACAATAATCTTTACTTTGTGTAGCATCATTGAAGGTAGAAGGACATAGTACATGTACCTACCATGGTTTTATGAACACTACTTGTATTGGTACTGGTCAACAAATATTATGTAATCAGATTTTAGCAAGCTTGCAGCTTATCACTGTGTTAATTGTGTTTGTTTTCTTTTAATTTGACAGATAAATACAGATGGTGTGTTAACTTTTACTCCAGGTCTACAAGGATATCCTCCATATCCATTTGGTGTATCATTTCAAGAAACCAACATAAAACTCATTGCTCCCTTTTTAACAGATTTGGATAACAGGTAATCCACATTCTTCATATTCTTAAACACAAACTAAACATTTACCCTAGAATAGGCAGATCTAGGTGTCTGTATCATCGTAGCTGAAAGGCATGGTAAATAAAGGAGAAATATCTGTCCTTGTTGTTGTTGTTGCTGTAGTTGTTGTTGTCATCATTTTATGCTATAAAAGACATGGAAAACAAT